GATTTACTTGTGCATGTTGATATCAACCCAGATCTGCTCAATAAGGCCATTCAAAAGCTTCTTGCATCTTCTTAGCTCTAGCTCTCTTGACTGGGCCTCCTGGAATATATGTAATGGCTCTCTTGACGTGGTACATGTGGGGTCATCTTGATTCCCATCATATATTGTCCGATAGAGAATGAAACCAGAACTTGCTTATTTACCTTAATTTCTCCACAATCATTTAACCATTGCAGCTTATATGGCCTTGGATGCTTCTTCGTAGGTAAATTAAGCTTTTCAACCAAAACAGTGCTAGCTACATTAGTACAACTGCCACCCCATCAATAATCACACTACATACCTTATTTTTGATATGGCACCTCGTGTGAAATATGTTGTCATGTTGTACTTCATCATCTTCTTTGGCTTGCACATTCAAAGCACACCTGGTGACAAGCAGTTCTCCATCAACAGCACATTCCATGCCATCATCAGCATCTTCCAATGGTGGCATAGAGTCATCATCAGATTCACCCTCTGTTTCAATTTCTCCATCTTCTCTCAAGATCATCGTGTGCTTATTAGGACATTGCGATGCAACATGTCCCCTTCCCAAGCATCGAAAACACTTGATGTCTCGGTTTCTGCCTTGTGTATTATCTGTTTTACTCTTCTCATTGCTGCCAACTTCTTTTGACTTAGATGCTGCAGGTTTAGGCTTAAAAACAGAATTTTCTTCCTTTTTGCTCCAATTCAGTTTCCAAGAAGATGAGGAACCTGAATTTTGCCCAGTTCTGGTGGTGGCTCCTTTACCCTTGAGTTGCTGTTCTACTTTCATCGCCATATGCACCATATCTTCTAATTCCACATAATGCTACAGTTCCACCACATTAGCTATATCACAATTTAAACCATGCAGAAACCGTGCCATAGTTGCTTCTCTGTCCTCTTCCACATTCGCCCTAACCATTGCGATTTCCATCTCTTTGTGATAATCCTCAACGCTTTTGGACCCTTGAGTAAGGCCCTGCAATCGTTGATAGAGATCACGGTAGTAGTGACTAACAAATTGTTTTCTCATCACAGCTTTCATCTCTTCCCAAGTGTCAATAGGACGCTCTCGATTTCTACGTCGACTAAGCACAAGCTGATCCCACCACACCACAGCGTAATCAGTAAATTCCACCGCTGCTAGTTTCACCTTTTTCTCCTCAGAATAGTTATGGCAATCAAACACCAATTCCACCTTCTTCTCCCACTCCAAATACACATCTGGATCATTTTTCCCTTGAAACGGAGGAATCTTCATCTTGATG